TAATTGAAATAATCTATTATTTTACATCTATACTTCACACTGTAGCATTATATACGTAAGTAAATGTAATTGGATTTTCCTATGCAATATTGACATAATAAAAACTTACCCCTGAGATAAATTCGGTTGTTGAGTAAGACTCGCAGCTACAATATCTGGATCGTTATAAGAATCCTGTTGCTTCCTTGTTTTATCATCTATGACAGTTTCATAACCAATAGATTCTTCAGAAAATTCTTCCTATGTTTTCATAAAAATAAATTAAATACTTTTACACACATACATTAGATATGGAATTAAAAACATTATAATGCTGTCCAACAACATTCTAATTTGTAATAGAGTGTTTTTGAATTTTTAATTCTTACTTGATGACCTTCATAATTTGTATCTAATTTGTTTGAATCCTTTAGTTCAGTAATTGGTTCGCTGGAGGTCTCTATATTATTTTCTCTCACATTATCCAATGTATCATTGTTATATGTTTCAGAAGTTTCATTGTTTTTAAAAGATGAGTAATAATTGGTTTGTGCACTTTCAGAAGCTACCATGATGAACAAAAGTGCACTGTAACAAAAAAGATATCACATTTTAAAGAAGACAAAATTTTAATTAATATAAAATAACACATTCCTCATTTTATGATACTAAAAAATTTAAATAAACAAATGAGAAAATTATAATTTTACAACTTTATGAAATTTTAAAAAATTATTCATATACAACAGTTTTTAATACTAAAATAATAGAAAATTGATCAAAAATAAGCAGATGCTGCATATTTAACAAAAAAAATGCCTTTATTTTGAAATAAAAACAAATTAAATTTTATTTATTTTCAAATTATATAATGTATAATATCACATAAAATAATAAGCAGTCAAATATAAGATGTATCATCTACAAATAAAATTTGAATATTTTCTTAGTGCCCTACAAATTATTCAACAAAAGATATTAAATTGAAAGAGGTATATACTATGCAAATAATATTGACAATCACCGTTCTTTAAATTTATTTTTTTCTAAATCTCAAAATTACCTACATTTTTTAATGAATTTGTATTATGTTTCAGACACAAATAGAGAAGTTAAAAACTAATTAATGTATGTTATATAAAAAATATGTAAAGATATTGCAAAATATAGTAATTAAACTTTTTCTTTATTTATGAAATAAAGTGGTAAGTTTATTGAATTTTTCATCACATTAAAAATACACAAATCCTTAGACACAATTTATTTTCAAATTTTTCAATATCACTTAATATTTCCTTTTTTATATATACTCAAAATACATGTAGATTTCATTTTAATGCATTTGAGTATT